ATTAGACACCCAAAAATCTCACATCTTGTAGCAAGTCTGCCAACAAGCCGTCAACAAGTTGTGTTCGCACTGCTTGTCGCAAGTTGGCAACAAGTTTGGAACAAGCTGTTAACAACTTGTAACAACCTTGTCGATACTATCAGACTTGTTGCAAGGTTGTTCCAACAAGTCCGATACAGTTATGATATAACAATATTGCTACAACCTTGTGTCATCAACCTTGTAACATTCTTGTTATATCATGACTGTATCAGACTTGTTAGAACAACTTTGCTACAAGTCTGATAATGCCATCAAGCTTGTTAAAAGCTGTTAAAAGCTTGTTCCAAACTTTCTACAACAACTGGGAACAAGCAGTGCGAACACAACTTGTTGACAGCTTGTGAACAGATTTGTAACAACTTGTTTGCAGACCTGTAACAACTTGTGCGTTTTTACGTGTGTACAATCACCAACCTACACACGTAAGAACGCACACGTTGTAACAAACCTGCAGCAGACTTGTAGCAATGCTGTTTCAACAACTTGTCCGCAGGATGTGTTCGCACTGCTTGTTCCCAGCTTGTTGACAACTTGCTACAAGGTTGTTGGGCTCAACAGGCTCGTTACAAGTTGTTCCAACAACTTGTTATCGCAAGTTGTCAACAAGTCGTAAGTGACAACCTTGTAGCAACTTGATAAAATAACAGCATTGTTACAAGATTGTTGCGAACACATCTTGTTGACAAGTTGTGAGATTTTTACGGGTGTATACGTTATGAGCTGGAAAAGCAATGAAATAAATTCATATACACTCAACATATACAATCAGCAATCTAATCCTGTGCTATTATATAATCATAATAATCTCAGTTCACCTTGTGCTCTTTTTCGTATTTAATTTGCAGTAGCTGAGCTTCCAGTAACCAGTGTTCTTTAGCCTGTTAAATGGGAAAAAGTCAACACATCTTCATATACACAGAAATTATTTGGATATACTGTACTCTGGTATATGAGTATATATATGAAAAATTTAATATTGCCTTTAATGTTGGCTTTCTGGCTTTAATGGAAATTTAATATTGGCTTTAATGTTGGCTTTCTTTAGATATTAAACAGATAAGATATTGAACAAAGATTTGATAAAAGATTTGACTATAGTATTTTGTATTTGTAAAGAACAAAAAACCCTTATAGCTACGTGGTAATCCGGTATACCTTTTGGCCATGTGGTAATCCGGTATACTCGTGAACACATAAGCATGCTCCTACACCTACAAAAATCCGGTATACTCATGCAGCATGCTCATACACCAAATCCAGTATGCCTATGAACATGCTCATCTCATATATATATACCAAATATATATTCGTGACGGGCAAGTACACGTTTTATCTTGCTTGCCTGATTGGGCAAGTTGCCTTGCCACAAAAAGCTGGCAATCTTTAAGTTTATGTTTTCATTGGCGGATATAAATTTTTCATAGTGCATGTACTTGATTCAAATTTTGTTTTTCGTGGGCCAAAGCTAGATCTGAGGCATTATAACATTGTAGCCATATAGAGCAGTGGAAGAACGGGTCAACATGTTGTCCCCTTAATTTATACCCCCTACCTAGGTATCCCAGTGCCCATTGTCTGACGGCAAGTGAACTTTATTCATGGCAACTAATTTTCTTGTCCAACTGGCAAGAGTGGTCAAAAAAGTAAAGTTGCACCACTGTCGAGAACAATGACGAAAGATTTATGTAATCTTTATGATTGAAAAAAACCCAGAAATCTATGTGTACATCACTACTGTACCTGTTCTAGTTTCGTAATTTTCGCAAGATTCAAAGATGCCTGCAGGTAAAAGAAAGAACAGAAAGTTCTTTTCACGTTTGGATGGCGAGACAATAATAATTGCTTTCTCTGGTGAAAATATATTATTTGCACTGATGATGATTCGGATTTGGGGCATCTCAGTTTCGAGTGGAATTTTATACATTGACTAAACCAAACCAAACCAGGAGCAGTTGTGAAAAATACAACTATAGGCCCTCTATAGCGCTCTAACCAACTGAGCCACAGATGGCCTATTGCACTCGTTCATATAATCATGGATAATAAAATAAATGGATTGGAAACTTCTGACGTCATTGACTGCATCCTTGTTGAAAAACGTGACGTCACGCGTATTGCGAATGTTACCAAAGTTCTCGGCATATTTGTTGTTTTGCTATATTTTCCACTTTAAAAGGGTGATCGTGAAGCGTAAACTGGTCTAATTGTTTTAAAAACATGCGTAAGCCACGACAAAGTATTCAAGGTAAATGTTTTTCGTCTTTGTTTTGTATTTTTTTACATTTGTAGCTACGAAATTGGCGTCACAAATCTTAACGAAATTTGCGATGTATTTTTCACTGTTTAGTGCTTGAAATATTTGCTAAAATTGACTGGGAATACTTAGAGTTTTCATCGTAGAATGGCGTGGTTACATTTATTTGCTCTTTGACTAAAATGTTTAGCTGTATTATTGCTAAACATGCCGTTTTTGAGAATTTGATTTTCAACTAGGTTGAGGCATCCAACCACGCCATCAATCCCAGTAAAAACATTAGGTCACGTCAGCTAGTTTCCTATCCATTTATTTTATTATCCATGATATAATAATGCACACAAAACTCAAAACTGTATTAATATGCTATTTTAGCACATGCACCTGTAATACACGTGTAACATACAAACCTGTTTCGTTAATGTTTCCCTACTTTCAGTTGAACTCAGCAACGTATTGTGATTTTCTAAAGCTAATTTATAAGGAATTGACTCCGGTTTGGGCTGGAATAAAGATTGGAAAAATCAAATTGATGTTTGTTATAGATACTCAAAATGAAGTGTGTGTGTGTTTAGAAGGTGTCTCGTGGTGTTACAGTGGTAGGTAGACCCGCCAAACGAGAATGAGAGCTGATGTACTCTCATCAACGTTCTCATGTACTCTCATCAACGTTCAGCTGGTACAAATTCTGATGAGAGTTGATAGAGATTTTCCTCGTTTGACCAGTAATATCTATAGCCAACTTTCATCTGCCTTCAATAACCTAGGGAATTCTGACTTGGAGATCTGCTGGGAAAACGACAATTGACAATTTGGATAGGATCCACATCAGGGCAGCACGGATTATCTATCACTATGCTTGGGATAAATCATCGAAAGAAGTTCAAAGCCAAACGAACTGGAGGCCACTTAAATTATTTTATAATTTGAAATTGTTAAACTTTCGTCAGTTATACATGCGAGACGAGTGCCTTACTGTAAGTCTCGTTCTACCTAAAACAGCAAAGATGGCCCTTACTGGCCTCTAGAAAGACGTACGGTACATACAATGTACAGGATAAATACACGAACAATACGTGAAACAAACCTTGTTTAATTTTTTAATATACTCTCTGTTTTGCTGTTTAAAGCTTCTTACTATTGGTGATCCTACGTTCTTTTACAAAAGAAAACAAAAACGATTAGATATATTTCAAACCGGTATTTGTTTCATCGTATTGAAGTTAAGGCATCATAGTGTTCATGACCAAACTGGTGTACTGTACTGTTCCTAACAGGCATAGAGTTACTAGGGTTGGTGTGAGTGCAGGGTTGTGTGCATGCACCGCCACCTATAGCCTGGCAAAGGGGGTGCGAGGGGGTGGCAATTTCGTTATCAAATCCATTTGGGGATTTGGAAAGGCAGTTACAAAACAAAATACAGTAGATTAGAGACAAAATGAGATAGTAACATGATTGTGAAATTGTCGAGCAAGACTACGGACTAGTGCCGTGCTGACGTAGCTTCCTCTATTGTGATCACGCACTTAGTCAACGGTGGCACCCCTAAACCATGACCAAATCTATATGAGCACCGCCCCCGTCCACCCGGCTGAACCCATCCGTGATGCCTTCCAATTATGGTACTGCGTGTACAAGAAAATAATTACCTGATCTGACGAAACACCTCGGACTCTAAACCCAGATGTTGACGAGAAAAACTCAACGTTCGTATGAAGAAAATGGGAAATCTAAAGCGAGGTAGATGGAAACATTACAACATTATCTATTACCGCTATTACTATAGAATCTACTATGTTTAGTTTTGTAAATCTCTGACGTGAACAGAAAGTGTTGGAATGGACGATGACATATAGGGCCGTTGACACTACGCTTAATTTTGCACCGGTACCCTTTTTATCCGCGCTTGGACTACCATTTACAAAGGCGGAACACGGATAAATTTGGTACGGGTTTACGGAAACCAGTTTTATCCGTGCCGTACCAAACATTGAGCGTGGTGTAAACGGGGCTATAGTATATCAAGATTTTTGCCTTACCTTTGAAGATGACGTTACTAATGAGGCAAGACATGTTTCCAAACATTCGTCGGTGCTTTTCAGAGTCTAAAATTGTATTAAAATGTACAGTTCAAACGTCGGATCTAATGCATCCATGAATAATATTCGGATCATAGCAGACAACTCGTTTGAGGACTTCACGTACTGTAGTACGGTCTGTTATGGATTTATTGGATTACCAAGCTCTGCGTTCCTGCTTATCTAAATTCTTTTCACAAAAAGCTGAGATTTTACCTGTGTTGTGGTAGGAGTCTGATGTTCAACCATTTTCTTGGAATGAAAAGCAGTTGACAGGCCTACAGAAAAGATACGAGTGAAATTATTTATTTACTTTCCTATATTCTAGCACCAGATCACATGTTACATAAAGTAGATCTACTGAACCATGGATCTCCTTCATATGGGACTCATGTCCTGTTAACCATACCTTCAATCACTGTTATAAATTTTATAACACTTTTGTATGATTGTAAAGTTAATAAATAGAACAACTAACCTCTTACTATTTTGTGAAACTTCTCAGCAGTCGAGTCAAGCAACGCAAAAACTTTCGCAGCATTGGAGCTAAGTAGCCCGTCTGAACCTGTGTAAATAGAAGAAAACGAAAAACACGCTATAGAGATACTTTTTGTGTGTGTTGGTGTTATGTACTCAGGTGAATATGATGTTTGTGATGTTACTCTGAGTGTGCATGAGTAACATTTGCCTGACCACGTTGGGAATCAAACCCGCGACCTTTGGGATGCTAGTCCAATGCTGTACCAACTGAGCTACGAGGTCAACATATCACCAACTCAAAGAGCTGGTAGAGCATTAGACTTGGTAGAGCATTAGACTTGGTAGAGCATTAGACTTGGTAGAGCATTAGACTTGGTAGAGCATTAGACTTGGTAGAACATTAGACTTGGTAGAGCATTGGACTTGGTAGAGCATTAGACTTGGTAGAACATTGGACTTGGTAGAGCATTGGACTTGGTAGAACATTAGACTTGGTAGAACATTAGACTTGGTAGAACATTAGACTTGGTAGAGCATTAGACTTGGTAGAACATTAGACTTGGTAGAGCATTAGACTTGGTAGAACATTAGACTTGGTAGAGCATTAGACTTGGTAGAGCATTAGACTTGGTAGAACATTAGACTTGGTAGAGCATTAGACTTGGTAGAACATTAGACTTGGTAGAGCATTAGACTTGGTAGAACATTAGACTTGGTAGAGCATTAGACTTGGTAGAACATTAGACTTGGTAGAACATTGGACTTGGTAGAGCATTGGACTTGGTAGAGCATTGGACTTGGTAGAGCATTGGACTAGTATCCCAATGATCGCGGGTTCGATTCCCACCATGGTCAGGCAAACTTTTCAGCCTGCCCGGTGTGGATACACACTCAGAGTAACATCACAAACAACGCTATAGAGATATACGCAATAATCGTCAAAGACAATACGATCACTGCTGGGATGAACAAGTCCTTCTCTCATTCCTTGGCTCTCAAAAACTGAATATGAAGAGCCGGTCAAAGCTCTCCCGAAAATCGTGGGTATAGGGCGTCAAGTCCCCCCCCCAAAGTCCCCCAAATATATATAATTAGGATCCCCCCCCCCCCCCTCCCCATCATCGATTACATGCCCAGTTAGTTCTATAATGTACCTGCAGAAGCTAGAAGTCTGAAATACGTGTCTAGTTCACTAATGACGGCGACAAACTTCGCAAATGCTTTCAGCATGGCCAAACTCAGTTGTTCCATTGAAGCGGAATATGTTGGTTTGGAACATTCCTCCTTGGTACTGAAGCAAGAAAATATCAAGTTGATGTAACAACTGGTGACACAAATGTGTTGGTGACATAATGGTTACCATATTTAGCAGGAATTAATGATGGATCCAGGCATCCAGGATCCCAGGAAATTTTCAGACCTGGCTTAGCTGGCAGAACATTTTAGGGCATTGCATAATGCTAACAGGTGCATTTTAAATGATATGGCAGAAAACTTTGACCCCAAAATTTAGGATCCCAGAAATAAAAATATTTCAGTGGTGCAACTTTACTTTTTTGACCATTTGCCCTCAGGGCAAGTTGGTCATGAAAATTAGTTGCCCCGAATAAAATTCACTTGCCATCACACAATTGCCACTGGGGTACCTAGGTAGGGGGTATATATTAAGGGGACAACATGTCGACCCGTTCTCCCCATCTAGCTTTGGCCCCCAAAAACCAAACGTGCTATACATGTATAGTACATGCGTTATAAAAAAATTATCCGACAATGAAAACATAACGTTTACTTGCCCGTCATGATATTCACTTGCCCTGGGAAAGTGTTAAGTTACACCTCTGAAACCTTTTGAGAATTAAAATTCTATGTGTTGCTTAAGGTCCACACTTTGTAATAAAGCTTCTATAAAACTGAAAAGGTGACAAATATTTATCTCTGTGTGTTGAGACAGAGATAAATCATTGTCACCTTTTCAGTTTTATTGAAGCTTTATTAAAAAATGCTTTATTTATAAAATGCTCCCTTTATATAATGTAATCTTTCGAAAGAACCTTTGCAGTAGTGCAACAGTATTATAATCTGAATCATTAATATCGAAGGAATGTGAAATTCCAGGCTTGTCCCATTTTTTTCGTTCCAAGAAGAATAAAAAAAATGAAATTACCATAAAGTTTGGTATGATAATATTTTCTGTAGATAACTCGAGTATTGATGGAAAGCTTCTGAGAATTCTTCAAAACCACTTGCTGTTTCCTGTTCAAAAGTTTAAATCTTCAATCAATTTCTAGATTATTCTATGTAATTATATACAGCACGAGAAGCCGTATTGCCCTTCAAAGACTGAACCCCACACCCTGACATTTAAGTGGCTTAGCATTGTACCATAAGCAAAGTCTTACATACAAAGATTCTCTAAAACCATCTTACCAGTGTAAGTAAAACGTCCTTGGTCACTTGACAGCTGAAGTTATTGAAACTTTGTTCAACATTTCGTAAAATCATCGCATTTTGATGAAGATGTTCACAAAGCTATGAAAAGAAACATCACTTGCCCACCTATCATCATCATTCATTTATTTTCTCACAACGTTTTCCTATCAACCCATTGAGTGGCAGCACTCTCCACTTGATGAGTAAAATCGTCTGGTGTTAGACAGAGTAAAATACTAAAGTAGGGCGCATGAGGGTGCATTGCCACTTAAAGGGTTACTATTTGGAATGTTTCAACTTACCTTACGACTAATATCTGTCGGTTCATCAAACAAAATTCTGATTCTCTGCAATTAATTGCAAGAATTTAATGCAATATGAATTTTTTTTAAAAAACTATAATTATGGATAAAGGAATTTATTAATGGCCAGCTCAAGTACCTGTTCCATGTAAGTATGATAGTCAGAAAGTCCGGCAAGAAAAATCCTGAGAAGATCCAACGCTTCGCTGACAAGTTTCTTAATTTTACTCTAAAATGCACAAAATTAAAAGAAAATTTGGTTCACCTACAAACATTTTCAAGAGTCAGACATGCAATTAAAATTAAAATTTAATGCTTTTCAAATTTTCGTACAAATTGGGAGCCGACGTACCTGACGCTTGCGGTCATGTGGAGGCACATTGAGTTTATTCAAGTCCTTCAAATCTGAAAAAGTAAAATACGGTCTCCCCTTCAGTTACACAACAAAATGGAGAACGAAGGGTAATTGCAATGAACAACTAAAGGCTAAAGCAGGGACGTCGTTAAGACATCAACATTGGGGGGGGTCGTCATGTTTTGACCAACTTTTCCTAGAATTTTGGCGAAGTAGTAGAAATGTTTCCCGAAAATGTTGTCGACGGGGGGGAGGGGTGTCGAAATATTTTCCGGACTAAAGCTTCAAATATTTTTCAACCAAAATAAGCAAGGCTTGCAATTGTTTCAGCACATACATGACCAAAGCTTAGAAATTGTTAAAATTGAAACGATTTCATAACTTTGACCATCTTTTATCTCAAACTTCGACCAAATTTTACCAACTTTGACCTTCAATTTTAAGCAAATATTAGTTCCATTTTGACCAACTTTGACCAACTTTGACCAACTTTGACCCCCCCTCCCCACACATCCTGTAGCGACGTTCCTGGGCTAAGGCCAGAGTCAAGCAAGGACAAAAGTTTATTAGAGTGGCTGAAAGTTAGACCGCTAACTCTCATGGACTCTCCATCAACTTTCAACTGGTTCAAATTTTGAATAGAGGTGATAAGGGTTTCTGTTCGTTTGCCAGTAAATGATATAATTTAATCTCATCAACTCACTTCCAGATTCTCATTTTCATTTGACTGGGGCTTTATAGAAGAGTTTGTTGTTGTTGTTGTTGTTGCTGTTGTTGTTGTTGTTGTTGTTGTTGCTGTTGTTGTTGTTGCTGTTGTTGCTGCTGCTGCTGTTGTTGTTGTTGTTGCTGCTGCTGTTGTTGTTGTTGTTGCTGTTGTTGTTGCTGTTGCTGCTGTTGTTGTTGCTGTTGTTGCTGTTGTTGCTGTTGTTGTTGCTGTTGTTGTTGTTGTTGTTGTTGTTGTTGTTGTTGTTGTTGTTGTTGTTGTTGTGTTTTCTTGTTTTGGTTATGAGTGGTATACCTAATAACTTGATTTTGTGTTTCAATCACTGATAGAACTGATATCAACTGATAGAAATCAATGTTAGTATTAAATTGGTGAATGATTGTTATTCCGAATGGAAAGCTGTTCCTAGCGGAGTTCCCCAAGGTTCTAAGCTGGGTCCCTGGCTCTTCTTATTGATGATCAACGACCTCACAGCTCCAGAAGTGGATCCATGGAAATATGTTGACGACACTACGGAATCAGAAATTATACCAAGAGGGTGTGCCAGTCAAATTCAAGTTGCAGTAAACAAAATGGCTAGTTGGTCTCCTACAAATAAACTTCAACTGAATTATGACAAATGTAAGGAAATTCAATTTTCATTTTGTCGAAATCAACACCTCACCCACCAGCCTCTTTTACTCAATGGTCACCAAGTTGAGTTGGTAACTAACTGAATGCAAACTACTTGGGTTAACAATCACTAATGTATTGGAATAACCACATTAATAAGATTATCAAGAAAGTTTCTTGTCGGATTTACTTCTTCGTCCAACTCTTTTTTCATTAAACGATCCTTATTATAATAATAATATTAACTTACTCGTATCGTTGAAATTGATTTTCTCCGAAACTATTCTCGATGCAATTTCTAGTAAAATATGATGAGAATAAATTGTTATTTGTTTCTGAAATATAATGTCATAACAAGTAACACACTGTAGTGTAGTATTTAATATATACAGAACAAATAAGTACCATATTTCGTAGCTAGTTTCTTGTTAAACACATGTGCTTGTTGTTCACTATAAATAGAAAATTCTATGACTATTTTGCAAAATGACAGAGGACAGTAATACTATGAGGGTCAGGGCTTGAATTTTATCGCGGCAATTGCCGTAGAGGGAGAACAAAATACCGTGGATCATTGCGGCAACGACGGCAATTTTTTGCCGTATAGTGTAATTTTTATACAATTCACTGTGCATTACTATTTTGATACTTGAATTCAGATGTTGATCAAATCATGCGTAAATCACTATTTTAGTCTCAGTTTTCTTCGAAAAAAAAACACTAAAGAAATACGTAAACATGTTTCTAGCTTGTCAACAATCCAAAGTAACAATGAACGTATTACAGTAATTTGAAAAAATGCCGTGGAAACTGCCAAAATTGCCGTAGACAGCTGTTACGTTCTACGGCAATTTTTAACACCATTGCCATCGATTGATTCCAGGGAAATTCGAGGCTTGATGAGAGTATAAAGTCAATCCCAATTCTGGCAAAATCCAGTGGTGGATAAAGCAAAGTTTTTTTGGAGGGGTGCTAACCAATGGCGAAATGAGCGCCAAAGGCGCAAGATTTCTAGGGTGGTCCGGGGGAGTATACTAGAGATTTCTAGGGTGGTCCGGGGCATACTCCCCTGGAAAATTTTTAAAATTTGGGTCTCTGAAATGGCATTTCCAGCATTCTGAGAAAACATTCTGGAAAATTTTTAGATTCTCAAAACATTTAAAAATTCAGAATATTTAATATTGGCTATTCCGCTATTGTCAACTAGTGATACGCAACTGAATTCCTTAACATAAGTTGGTTAGAATTAGGATAAACGTCATTTTTGCACACACACCCTGCACCCCTGTTGACCAGAGCCTGGGGAGGGGGTACGCACCCCCCCCCCCCTTGAATCCCCCACTGGCAAAATCTATTGTGAATCCCAATTGTACAGTTACCTTTTCTCCGCTTTTATGGAAACAGTCTTGAGCTCCTCAAGGCATTTTTGCAATCTTGCCTAAAATATGAGAATATTACATTAAATTTTGTCAAAGTGAACATTAAGCATGCCTGAAAATCTGACAGCCTAAATTAATGTTGCCTATGTTGAAACGTTATGAAAATTACAAAACCTCAAGCATTGCTTTTTCTTCTTGCAATTTTTGTACAGTGATCTTATACTTCTCATTATTCTCATCAATGATTCTCTGATGACTTGCTGAATTTCTATAAAAGATAAAAAAACAGAATAGAAAATTTTTCTATTTTTACTTATTTGGTATATTTTATGTCATAGATGAAAATATTAAAAGGTTACACTTTTGAAAGTCCCTCAGTTCGAAAGGTCCCCCATGGCTATGCCTTGGTTTTGCTGCATAGTTACAGTATATACTCACACTACTTACTTTTCATAAGACTCTAGTTTTTCTTGAAGGTCCAATACAGATGCTCGATGCTTCTGGTTTGATTCAAAGAGCTGATAAAATTATAAATCAGAGTTAAATCTCAGTTTATGGACGCCGTTCTAATAGAGAACACCTCTCTATTACACACAGTTAAATTGCTTAAATTTAAATGTGAGGGCAAAACTAGAGCAGATGGCAAATGAATTTTATTCAGGGCAGCCCACAGCTCCCCTTCACAACAGACAGGTTCCTGCATTTCGCGTGAAAGTTACGCATTCTGCCGTTGTTCCCGCTGTCCCACACGCATAACTAAAATGATCTTAAAGTTACGCATTTTTACCATTGCATGACGCTATCCCACTTTTCGTACAATAACTCATTGACAACGCTTTGTGCAAATGTAGAATTAGAGTTAACAACGTTAGAATTAGCGTCAGACGCATCGTGACATGCTGTACATGGCCAAATATGCTTTCTGACGATCTGGAGACTCCAAATTTCAAAAAATTTTCGCAATTTTCCTAGTCACATTAAACTGTAAGTAACACTGTCATATTGATCAGTAGTTATTTTATTTATCTTCATTGTTAGGCAGTAGTAAAACATTGAAATTTTGGGTAGGAAAGACTCTAAGAATGCTATTTCCGACGGTCTAGAGAATTCAAATTTTCAAAAATTTTTGCTTGGCGCTAACCATGATGGCGCCTCGCGGGCGACGCAAAATCAGGTGAATTGAAACAATTCAGGCGGTAAACCTAACCCTCTAACCTCTCCCCCCCCCCAAAGGCAAAGTCCTCGCAATGGCCCTGGTCACACATTTTTATCTTCCGAACTTGGCAGCTCTGCAATCCTGACCTCAGAATACCCACTGTAATGATATGTACATACTATGCTTTGCCAGTTTAATGTTACCTCTCTTTGTAGTCTAGCATTTTCATCAATTTTCAATTGCAATTCCTCGGCAGCCACATTGTTAGCAAATGGATTTGTATTTGTTGGCTAATAACATCCAAGATTATAAATCAATGAATTTCAAAAAAACAAAATTGAGAATATAGGATCTTTAAAGAAGAGATGTTTACGAGAAAAGACAAAACAGTATTCTGCCATATGCCTCCCAAATACACCATATATACTTAATTTGTTTTCCTGGCTAACCCCAGACAATTTTACTTGTCAAAAGGAAGAGCACTGGAACATTTTGGATATTGGTACGAAGGTGTGGCATGGTATGGTGATTGACCGACTGATGTCAGTATTGGGCTGATTTTTGCCTTAGGCATAAAAAAAAATACCTGTGGTTCCGGTTCCCGACCAACCCAATTTTTTTCTGCTGACCCTATAATTTTTTCAACACGATTGACCGTGCAACCCTATTTTCTCCGGGTGGTTGCAGGCTGCTGCCAAAATGGCGTCTGTTGTCACACTATTTATTGAAAAAACCATGAAAAAAAACTTTTTTAAAAAATTATTTCCGACCTACCAACCCTAATTTTTTCGCAGTATGAAACCGGAACTACAGGTATTTTTTTTTACACCTTATCTGTAGGTAAACATTTGATTGTAATTGTATAATTTTAAGATATATACTGTAGTACCTTAGTAGTTTTGCTTTTGGTAGATGTAGATGCATTATCCAGCTCATCTTGGAGAATCCCAACCCTCTTGGACAACTGTTAAATGAACAATTATCACTATAACTGTATTCAAATACAAGCTACTGTACACAGTAATAACCCAGACTGGAAAGTTTGCAAAATGCACAGCTGAGATCGTAGTTCCGAAAAAAATTGTGTGGCCAGGCCAGACCAGAGCCGTAATTTTTGTGCAGCCAGATGTAACATAATTTTCGCTTGATTTATATCCATTTTTAGTTATTTTGCATGCGAGCTGAGCGCATATTTCTGTGCATCTGCGGCACAAGGCATTTAAAATTATGTGTCTGGCCGCAGCCAGGACAAAAAGTGACAGCCGAGTCTAAGCTGCACAATGAAAACTTTCTAGGCTAGGTAATAACCATAGATATCTTATATACACTAGATAGTGCATCTAATTATTCTGCAATTCAAAAATTGAAGCCGTGATTGCAGACTCAGGATATTCCCATGAAATGAGAAGATGCGTATGTTTTCTATTTCTTAAACAGGGAACTTAAACATTAAGTTAAACTTATTCCAAGTACATTTTTAAACTATTCAAATGATGAAAGTTATTGTTGTTTTTTAAGCATTTATTAGCGAGTGGGAACTACCAACATGGGAATATTCTTGGCTTCAATTTTACTAAAAGAGATGCGCTATCTAGTGTATATATGTAAGATATCTATGGTAATAATGCACCTATCAATGCTAACCCCCAGAGGGGGGGGTCGGGCATATGTGGGGTATTTGATCATCAATTGCATCCCCACCCTGGGGATTTTGATCAGCATTTTGGCCCCAAGTTGGGGCAATTTGAACCAATTAACCTTTATTAATATAGTATTTATTGCAATTTATTGCAAAATAGTGGGGCATTTGACCAATATTTATTGCCCGACGGTGGGGCATTTGATTGAAAATTTGCTCAAAAAACAAGATAAGAGTCTTGTGCATTTTTAGCAACTAAAAATATCTAGAAATATTACCTGGTCATTCCGAAACTGTAGACTATCTAGCTCTTGTTCATATTTTCTGATGGTTTGTTCTCGATGTTTTAACCGTTCCTACAAAATGATAAAAAATTGGTAGAAAATATCTGAGTAAATAAGAGAGTAGGATGAATTTGGGAACTATAGATTTAATGAGCTATGAGGCCATTGGGCAATAGAGTTTGTCTACTAAACGATAACATAGAATCATAGTGGTGTACAGGGAAATAGAATATTTTAGAATTCTGGACAGAAAAATGCGATTATTCACAGGGGGTTGTGATCCCTACGAAATACTTTATACCTCTAAAGTTTTTTGTGAGTCTTGACCTTCAATTACAGCTTTCTTCAAGACAGCATTCTGTGCCCTTAGCTATAACATACATTAAACAGATAATGACAAGTGACAATTAATCAATTATCACATAAAAATGTTTTGATTCGATGTTTAACATACTTTAGCGAACTCTGTGGCCAACTTTTGATATTTCTCTTGTAAATTTAGACCATCCCCCATCATTTTCGTTCGGGAAATAACAAAACCACGTACTCAGTTACATGCATTTTAGTTTTTAAATGCCCTAAAAATCACATTCGTTTCAAAACATTTCCGCCATCTTGTGCAGAATATTTTGCGTTTGCACCCGATTCGTACGATTAGAAAATATCGCCGATTGGTAGGCTGAACGTTTTCTGATGTTTCTGAAGAATCGCCGAATCCGGGTAGTTTAATGTATTTAAATCAGATTTAAATGCACAAACAAGTAATGTGCCGTTATAATAACAATATAAAGAGCGTTTTGTTTTATCTAAAGCTCGAGTAATACGAGCAACAAAATTGCAGCAAACTGGAAAAAAAATCTGATTTCAACGCATGTTAAGTAGAAATGTTGACACATGTTGCCTCGTGATTTGTAATGTATGTGTGAACATTTTCAATTAACATGCGTTGAAATCAGATTTTGTTGCCAGTTGCAGCAATTTTGTTGCCCGTATTACTCCACCTTAAGACGTAAACTGTAGATATTTAAAGTCGGGTATCGGGTCTATAAATCTGGCACAATTTTATGAAATTTTCAGTGCATGACCTGCAACACCTGTCGCACCCGAAATTAGGAACATTAGTGGTGCAATTCATTTCCGGTTTGAATTTGTGACGTATACAAACAGCATTGCAAAATTAAAGGTGATGCAAAACGATATGATATTATCATATTTTTGCGACTAAAACTCTGTTAAAAGGCATTGTAAAACGCAAGTAACTCGGTACGTTGTTAGGTGAGTACCGTGCTGCCTATTACTTTTGCATTTGTAGACAAAAACGTTTAGATTTTGTAGTTTTGAGACGAAATATTAGCCATAGGTTATGGCGTCAACAGCGACTGAGAATGACCATGTATTGGCTGAAAGTGCGGAGAAAAATGACGAGCATTTGAAAGAAACCGAAGAAATCGATGGTCGTAAGCAAAAGAAAAGGAGACGCAGACGAAAACGTGGAAAAAAACACGGATCCGAAGGTGATTTTGTAGTAAAGTCAGAGGAACGGACCACAGGTGAGGAAACTTCTACCGTACGGAATAAAAGCCCCAGTACCAAGAATTCTGATTTGAGCTCTGTTGAAAAACATGAAAAAGAGAATCCCTTACAAGCTGAGCAAAACAGCGCAGCTGATGCAAAGCAAAAGACAGATACTGAACGGCTTAGCACGATAGCAACAAAAGAGAAATTGAAAGGGGGCCCTCCGCAATCCGAGGCAAGCGCTCCTGACAAACAAACAAGCCATAACAACAAGCACTCCCCAAATAAATCTGATGTCACGAACACTCCAAATAATTCGTCCAAACATAAACAAAGTTGTCATAGTGAACACATACCAAGTACACCAGATACTCACGAAACTGCAGATCGCAACACACCAAAACATCATGGCCGTCAGTACAGAGGAAGAATACCGAGACATGGTCAAGATTATCAGGGCACACCTCCAAATCAAACTTCTAAACAGTCAAGTCATCACAGACAAAACACACCTGGTGATGACGACAAGCAAAATTCACCTACAAGACGGTCGAACCATGAAGGCCCTCAAACTCCAGTAACCGAGGAAGCTGGTCACCATCGTGAAGGTGGTCATTCATCCAAAAAGAAAAAACACAAGAAAAAGATGATATTTGAAGAATATTGGAGCAAGGAGAAAGTGTCGGCTGCCCTGAAAAGAGGTGAAGTTCACAAGGGAAACTTGCGGATAAGTGCTAAAAATTATGAAATGGCATGGGTTAGCTTACGAGAGTTTAAAAGAGACATTACAATTTTGGGTATGGTGCCGAGGAACAGAGCACTTGATGGTGATGTAGTTGCCCTCGAGATTTTACCAAAGGAGAATTGGAAAATCATGCATGACGAAATGAAGTATCATGAGGATCTGGTAGAAGATACTGGGGAAAAGTTAACCAATCTACATCTTACTTCCGAAGAAGAAAATAACGGCAATGGGGAGAAAAGTGGCAGTACCCTCCCTGGTTCTCCCAAAAGTCCTGGCGAGAAACGTAAGATTGATGTTAATGAAGTACCTGAACAATATCTTCAGAGGACTGCCAAAGTTGTTTATATCATCGAGAAGAAACATCCAAGAATTGCATGTGGTTACTTGAGACCGATGAAAGATCCAAATGACCCAGATGGGTTGTTCTCGCCAACCGATTGTCAGCTACCGAGATTCAGAATAGCGCACAGCGATTGTCCGCCAGGGTTCTTCAACCGCCCACAAGATTTTGCAACAACCTTGATGATTGTTCGTTTGACCGAATGGCATCGAGAAGCTCCTCTGGATTCCTGTTTGGCCAAAGGTGTTTTCGCAAGGAGTCTTGGAGAGGCTGGTGAAATTGAACCAGAGACGGACAGTATCTTGTTGATAAATGATATAGACTCTAGTCCATTTTCTCAAGAAGTCTTAGATTGCCTACCAAAAGATTTACCATGGAAGATCCCTCAGGAAGAACTCGAATCTCGCCGTGATTTTCGAGACGTTTGTGTGTTTTCGATAGATCCGGCTACTGCTCGAGACCTTGATGATGCACTGCACTGCACCAAACTTGACGACGGAACTTTTGAACTTGGCGTTCACATTGCGGACGTCAGTTTCTTTGTCAAAGAAAACACGGCCCTTGACGAGGTAGCTTCTTCAAGAGCAACTTCGACATACATGGTTCAAAAAGTAATCCCAATGCTTCCTCGACTGCTATGTGAAGAACTGTGCAGTCTTAATCCAAACGAAGACCGTCTTACATTCTCAGTCGTGTGGAAGATGGATGGCAACGGAGTTATTCAAGACGAGTGGATGGGAAAAGGGATCATACGATCACGTGTGAAGTTATCCTACGAGCATGCGCAAGACATGATCGACAAACCCGAGAAGGTGTGGGGAGAAAAAGAACACCCTCCCTTAGCAAGTGGAGCAACGATTACGGACATCGTGCAACGTGTTCGTGACCTTCACCAAATTGCTGCTAAGCTGCGCCAGCAACGTTTTGACAATGGAACACTGCGACTTGACAAGGCAAAGATTTCATTTGATCTGAATGGCGAAACTGGCCTCCCACATGGCTGGCATCCGTATGTTCAACGAGAAAGCAACAAATTGATTGAAGAATATATGTTGTTAGCCAACATGGCTGTCGCACGTCGTATTTACGAAGCGTTTCCCGATAGAGCGATGCTACGTTGTCATCCAAAGCCTGACGCAAGACAACTGGAGGAAGTTAGTGCGTTGTGTAGTTCTTTAGGAATCAATTTCTCGCATGCATCATCGAAAGGCATCCAGGAAACGTTGAACACTTTCCCTCCGAATTCTCCTGAGCATTTAGTGCTTTCGCATCTTTGTATGAAGCCGATGAAAGCTGCGAAATACTTCTGCGCTGCAGCTGCGGAAGGCGATCCTGAAGAATTCCTACACTATGCTCTCAGTGTCCCTCTTTATACCCATTTCACATCACCGATCCGAAGATACCCTGATGTTATCGTTCATCGACTTCTTGCCGCGTGTTTAGAGGTCGAACCATCGCCCGAATTTGCATCCGAAGACCTCGACGTAATCGCAGGACGGTGTAACGATAAGAAACTTGCCGCAAAGAAAGCAGGGGAGGCAAGTACAGAGTTATACCTAGGAGCTTTTGTACGAGAGTGTGGGCCTCTAACCGAAGATGGCATTGTCGTCCATGTCATGCACGAATCGGTCGATGTCTTAGTGCGTGAATTTGGCATCATAAAGAGGGTCTACTTTAAGTTTTGTGATGAGGTGAAATCGTTTGATTTTCAAGAAGGGCACAAGACGCGTCCAGCTGAAGTATTGATAACTTGGAAAGGTCCACATGATAAGAGAAAGACGGACGAAGAACAGGATGCGGATAGGAAGAAGGGTAGCCACAAAGGCGAGAAGACATCGAGCAAGGAAGATAGCCACCATCATCAGCATAGGCGTACCGATACGCTCAAGATCTTCACTCGCGTTCGAGTTCTACTAAAGACCGAAAGCGACAAAACGAAGAATAAAGGTGGACTAAAGTTCTCTGGGGAACTTCTTCAAAACAGTGGGAAGGAATAACTGTTAGGAAACAACCTGAAAACATTTTAACAATCGTTATTCAATCAAGAAACATTTTAAGATAATTGTGTGACTATTATGACTATTGCCTGTATATGTACTGATGAACATGCATGTCAGGCAATTACGAATGTATGTTGGAACAAATTAATTTTGAATTAGAATTTAATGAGCTGCATATCGTTTTATTAAGGATTGAGACGTTTTTAAAGTACAAAATATTTTAATTGTGTGTAAACTTTGTAGTAACGGTTTTAAACCGTAGTATATACCTTAATGAAGCGACGTTTTCGAATTGTTTGAATTGCAAATGTGGTAAAAGCGTCATTGAATATCTTTTAACTATATCTCTAAAGAAGGCATACAAAAAGTCAGTTACGTTGATTATATAAAGCACATTTCGTTATAATCTCAGCGGAAAATGTCGCTTGCTTAAGATATTTCTAATAAGGTTTTTTCACTGTTGTAGTAAAATTTGTTGGATGAATCTTTTAGTAAATAATATTTTTGTCTTTATAGCTTCATAGTCTTATTTGTTCAAAAACTTCAAAGCTTTAAAAGTGTAAAAAAACTTCATAGCTTTTTCTGAGAGAGCTCCCCCGCACTATAATAGTGCAGTTCTAAAATTTTAATAAGGAGGGTCGCATCTAGGGCAATGAGCTATATAAAGTTCAGGGTCTGAAACACGATTTCCTGCGTTTAAGGAGGCTCCCTACAGTTTCCAATATACAGGGTGTCTAAAAAAAAACGCTACGGAAATTCAACAGGCTGTCGTGCATCAAACTTAGCTAAACAATTAAATTTTTACATAGGACGAAAGAGCTGTTATTTAGCTTCTCTATGATACCTTTTTTAAATCGTAACGATGCGAAATGGCCACATACTCGCCAAATAAAAAATGCCGGTCGAAATCACTTTCTTCCACCGTTGGGAATTGAAAATACATTAATTATGCAAAGTTAGTCAATTCAAAAGCAACGCGAGCCTGCTGCAAGCTATTTGTTTCGTAAAACGTTTTGATTACGAATCTTCTCTGTTCAGGGGTTAATTGAACCATGTTTTATGGACGTTCTTATTGAGTTATTGTCCCATTAAGACGAAGATCGACGAGTTGAGCTCATTTTAGATAATTTAACATTCAATTTTAATTCCCTCTTGGGAATTGTCTATGGTTCGTTTTCCATGCAATTCCCAACGGTGGAAGAATGCGATTTCGACCGGAAATTTTTATTTGACGAGTATGTGGCCATTTCTCAGCGTTTCGATTTAAAAAGAGTATCATTGAAAAGCTAAATAACTGTTCTTTCGTCTTATGTAAAAATTGAATTGTTTAGCCACGTTTATGATGCAAGACAGCCTGTTGAATTTCCATAGCGTTTTTTTTTTAGACACCCTGTATATCGGAAGAGGTTATTTCGCTGGCCTCAGAGTGACAAAACGTAAGAAAGCAACGGTTTTACTAACAGTAGCCCTATTCCAAACACCAACTCTAACCCCAACCCTAACCCTACTCCAAGTTTGTTTCTAAACCAATCTTGAAGAAAATGTTTTTGACGAAATTTCAGCGAAATAACTTTTTCCATATATATCAGTGTTTTAAAGTAAAAGCTATTTGAATCTAAAAAAAACTATTTTTTTGCACAAGCCATTGTTTCTTCTTATATAAAAAGGTAATTTTAACCTATAATTAATACCCTTCATGTTACCATGACAACATGACGTCACCATCTATATGGCCTATATCAACCAAAAAAGCTGTCTTAGCGGACAAATAACCACGGTGACCCACCTTTTTTATTGCAGAAAATACATTATGAAAGTTATTTGTAGTGTAGTTTTCGAGAAACTGAATTTCAGCCTTTCCAAAGGCTAAAATGCAATCTCAAAGGCGATTTTCAAATAACTTTCAAAAATGTTTCAAAATTTTATAACAATGTATTTTCCGCAATAAAAAGGGTAGGTCACCGTGGTTATTTGTCTGCTAAGATGGCTTTTTTGGTTGATATATGCCATATAGATGGTGACGTCATGTTGTCATGGTAACGCAAAGAGTAGCGATTGTGGGTTCAAATTACTCTTTTATATTAAAATGAAACAATGGTCTGTGCAAAAAATTGGGGTTTTTAGATTCAATTAGCTTTTAGTTTAAGACACTGATATATATTGGAAACTGTAAGGAGCGCTCAGAAAAGTTTTTAAAATGTAATTACTTGTTGAAAAACAAAAGGGGTCTTACTCAAACAACATCTAAAGGGTTTGAATTTTTTCACAAGTTATACACAACTGTCGTTGCTTTTTCACAAAAGTTATACAACAATAATGTTTCAATATGGCGGATATTTTGGCTTTCAAGTAATCCCCAAATTTTATTTCATAAAAGAATATCCTGGTATACTCAATTAGCCATTTCGAAGTTGATGAGAGGACTGGGACGAGTGTTAAAAAGTGCCCAAATTAAGAAATGAACCAAATGACTAAAAAGACCACCTCAAAATTAGTAAGTATACAAAGTTTGAAAACGTTTACATGAATACCCTTCGAATAATAAGCTTTCGAAAATTGTGAAATTACTGATTAAAAGATTGTTTTTGGGACGCGCGTCCCAAAAACAAAAATTACAATACATTTCATAGTAAATATCACCATTTTCGAAAGCTTATTATTCGAAGGATATTCATGTAAACGTCTTCAAACTTTGTATACTTACTAATTTGAGGTGTCTTTTTAGTGATTTGGTTCATTTCTTAATTTGGCACTTTTTAACGCTCGTCCCCAGTCCACTCATCAACTTCGGAATGGCTAATTATCTTGACAATTCAAAACAAAATTCTGCTGAGCCTAAAAATATATATTATGAATGATAAAATACAAAACAACAGTAAGTCTGAATAACATAACAATTTGATTTATTGAATCGACGTTTCCACTAAATTTATTCGGAGTTACTGTTCTTTTGTATTTTATTGTAAAATATTGAGTGGTTCCCGGTAATTAATGAATAATCGCATTCACCTAATTTGAAAAATGTTTAAATTGTCACAACAAAACTGTCACAGTCCTCCCCTCCACTAGATCCCTAACGTAAGTTTGGGGCGTCTAATAGAGCTTGGTAAGATTGGAAAACAAAACCTGGAATCCAGGAAACTGTTCTTACTTCCTACGAAGTTACCTTCTAGAGGTCTGACTGGCGTAGAGTTCACTGGACTGGCGTTAACCATAGTTAATTGTTTATTATTTCTATTAACTATGCGTTAACTATGTTGATATTTGCCTCATATTAATTAGCAGTTTTTGGACCCAGATTTTATCTCACGACTGACATCGGGAAACCCCCATTACTGTAAATTTCTCTCTTATACTTTCAAAAAACCAACAATGCAGCCCTCAGAATCATGATCATAAATATATTTCAATTTGAAAAATACACATAATTTATTTGGACTTTTTATTCAAATTATTGCTACAATTGTTCACCCTGTCTGTCTTATTCGTAAGACAATGGTTATAGTGTTTAAATATCAATGACGGAATGTCGGTTGATTTCCAACAAATCAATCCATCTCATAGTTGCCAGAGAAAGTCGAGAATCCCTTTCAATGGAGAACAGTTTAATCGTTAAAACCAACGTCATCCCGTCGTCTAGGAATCTTCTATTAGGCCGCTGTTTTAAAAACGAAAGAAAAACGAATTTAGTGTTTTTTTCACAAAATTTATTGTAAGCATGTTGTGTGAATTTAAATGTTGTCTTATATAATTACTACTAATGAAGATCCGGGCTTATGCCGTACAGATCGAAAGCTTTGGCAAAAACAGGTATACTCGTCTTACCTAAGAGGTTTCGTCTAGTTAAAAGCCATGAAATCCATTGGAATGGTCCGCCAAGTTTTGATGCACTATTTGTCATTGCTGGAGCGCTCTCTGCTCTCTCACTAAAAAAACCCCAAATTATCAGGTATGTAAGAAAGTAATAAAGAGAAAAGCTGAAGACTTTTAACAGATTTATAAAACCACAAATGTAGGTTATTTTAAGGCAAAATCTTACCCGAAAGCTCGAGCTCTGTTGCTAGCTTCGTTACTGCCAACTTCTGGTGGCATAGCAATAGCAGGGTGTTCATCAACTGCGACGTCATTGTCGGCTCCATCATCGGCTCCATCATCGACAAGAACGTCATCTTCTGCATCGTCATCTGCAGCATCATCGTCACCATCATCATCTCCATCATCATCTCCTGCTTCATCATCATCATCTGCTCCATCATCAACGTCATCTGCTCCATCATCAACGTCATCTGCTCCTGCATCATCATCTCCATCATCATCTCCATCGTCGTCATCATCTGCATTATCATCGTCTCCATCATCATCATCGTCATCATCATCGTCATCATCATCGTCATCATCTCCGTCATCGTCACCATCATCATCATCTCCATCATCATCATCTCCTGCATCATCATCTGCACCATCGTCGTCATCGGCATCATCGTCGTCATCTGCATCGTCATCTCCGTCATCATCATCGGCACCATCATCAGCATCATCGTCTCCATCATCATCTCCATCATCATCATCGTCATCATCATCATCTGCGTCATCTCCATCATCGTCACCATCATCTCCATCATCATCATCTCCTGCATCATCATCTGCACCATCGTCGTCATCGGCATCATCGTCGTCATCTCCGTCATCATCATCGGCACCATCATCATCTCCATCATCGTCATCATCATCGTCATCACCATCATCTGCGTCATCTCCATCATCGTCACCATCATCATCATCTCCATCATCATCATCTCCTGCATCATCATCTGCACCATCGTCGTCATCGGCATCATCGTCGTCATCTGCATCGTCATCTCCGTCATCATCATCGGCACCATCATCAGCATCATCGTCTCCATCATCATCTCCATCATCATCATCGTCATCATCATCATCTGCGTCATCTCCATCATCGTCACCATCATCTCCATCATCATCATCTCCTGCATCATCATCTGCACCATCGTCGTCATCGGCATCATCGTCGTCATCTCCGTCATCATCATCGGCACCATCATCATCTCCATCATCGTCATCATCATCGTCATCACCATCATCTGCGTCATCTCCATCATCGTCACCATCATCATCATCTCCATCATCATCATCTCCTGCATCATCATCTGCACCATCGTCGTCATCGGCATCATCGTCGTCATCTGCATC